CTCCCTTCCTCTCCTCTCGCCTCCCTCCCCCTCGCCCACTCACTCTCACGGCTGGTTTTCACCTAGCCCTACTCCTTCCTCCCTACTTCACCCTCCAGGCTCGCTGATTTCCCTTTGGTATACTTCCGCTGCTCCTCTCGCTGCACATCGTGCTCTAGACATTCCTGCTTGGTGGACTCTATTCTACTGGGGGTCGTCTTATTTTCAGGGAAACACGGTAGAATCAATGAACCTTGAATTGGGACACTTGACGCCGCAAAGGTGTAGAGGGAAGGAAATGAAGCAAAGGAAGGAAGGGAGGAAGCAAAGAAGGAAGGAAGGAAGGAAGGAAGGAAGGAAGGGAGGAGGGAGGGAGGGAGGGGAAGAAGGAGGGAGGGAAGGAAGGAAGGAAGGGAGGAGGGAGGAGGGAGGGAGGGAGGGAGGGGAAGGAAGGAAAGAGGGAGGGAGGGAGAGGAGGGGAAGGAAGGAAGGAGGAGGAAGGAAGGAAGGAAGGAAGACAAGAAGACAAACAAAAAAAAAAAAAAAAAAGGAAGGAAGGAAGAAAAGAAGGAAGAAGAAAGGAAGAGAAGAGGAAGGAGAAAGAAGGAAGGAAAAGAAGGAAGGGAGGAAGAAGGGAGGAAGAAGAAAGAGAAGGAAGGAAGAAGGAGAAGAAAAGAAGGAAGGAAGGAAGGAAGGAAGGAAGGAAGGAAGGGAGGGAGGGAAGGAAGGGAAGGAGAGAAGAAGGGAAGAGGAGGGAGGGAGGAGGGAGGGAGGGAGGTTAGGAAGAAGGAAGGAAGGAAGGAAGGAAGGGAGGAGGAAGGAAGGAAGAGAGGAAGGAAGGAAGAAAAAGAAGGACGCCGCAAGGAAATACACCGGAACGAGCGCAACGGAACCGGAGGAAGCGAGTGGTAAGGAAGGAGGAAGAAGGAGAGGAAGAAGGAAGGAAGGAAGGAAGAAGGAAGGAAGGAAGGGAGGGAAGAAGAGAGGAAGGAAGAAAAGAGGAAGGAAGGAAGAAGGAGGAAGGAAGGAAGGAAGAAGGAAGGAAGGAAGGAAGGAAGGAAGGAAGGAAGGAAGGAAGGAAGGAAGGATGGGAGAGAGAAAGAAGAACATAGAAGAAAGAGAAGAAGAAAATAAGTTTCACGTGCGTCCCGGACCCTGGCCTTAGTGTGTGTCCTCTTTTGAATTCCCCAGCCCACCCTTTTCTGGGATCGATCAAATGATGACGTACAATTTGATTCTCAAAGGAATCGAAAAGACGGATTTTCCTCGGAAGATAACCAGGCGACCTGAGGATTTGATTCGGAGGCTTTGCAGGTGAGAATGACAGTTTGTCTTGCGCACGCACACACACACAAAAGTGTGAAGGCTTCCGGTGGCTTCTCTTCCTACACATTTTAAGAGTAGGTCTACATTTACTTTTTGTACTTCTTTCTGTAGCTGAACGGTATTTAGGGAAAGTCGTTTTCCGATTTGCAGTCTAAGGTAGGAGTTTGAGTTTCCCCCATATTATAGAATTACAGAACCTACTTATTATAGTTTAAATAGCGATCTACATTTTCCAGGTTACTTTTGGGAATTACCTTTATCTGCTACAGAGCAAAATAGAGCCACAAACCTTAGGGGAAAAAGGGAGAAATCGATTTGCAGTCACGGTACTTTGATGGAAAATCAGTGCCCGGTGATGAAGTATCACTACATGACCTCTTTCGTCTCCATGTTTTAAAAAGTACTCCTTTACTCCTATTTTAAATTACCCCCAAATTTCTAGTAGACATTAAAGCTCATTTATTAGAGAATAGGAGATCCCAGATTCTTTGCTTGAACTTTATTTTGTTGCTTTTTTTTTTTTTTTTTC